GTGAGTCTCTGTGTGTCTGTCTCTCTCTCTCTCTGTCTCTATGAGCCCATCTGTTTGTGTCTCTCTATAACTGTTTCTGCTTGAGTGTCTGTGTGTGTGTCTGTATCTCCATGTCTCTCTCTCTGTGTCTCCATGAGCCCATCTGTTTGTGTCTCTCTATAACTGTCTCTCTGTGAGTGTCTGTGTGTGTCTGTATCTCCATGTCTTTCTCTCTGTCTCTATGAGCCCATCTGTTTGTGTCTCTCTATAACTGTCTCTGTGTGTGTGTCTGTGTGTGTGTGTGTCTGTGTGTGTGTGTCTGTATCTCCATGTCTCACTCTCTCTCTCTCTGTCTCTATGAGCCCATCTGTTTGTGTGTCTCTCTATAACTGTCTCTCTGTGAGTGTCTGTGTGTGTGTCTGTATCTCCATGTCTCTCTCTCTCTGTGTCTCTATGAGCCCATCTGTTTGTGTGTCTTTATAACTGTCTCTCTGTCAGTCGCTGTGCGTGTCTGTCTCTCTATGTCTCTCTGTAACTGTCTCTCTGTGAGTCTCTTGTCTTTCTGTCTCCGTGTCTCTCTGTGTCTCTATGAGCCCGTCATTCTGTTTCTCTATAACTGTCTCTCTGTGAGTGCGCGCTCTTTGTCGGTGCGTCTGTGTTGTTCACCGTCTTGTGGATTCGGAAAAGGCTGGCCGTGTTAACTGGAACGCTGTGTCCGTGCGTGCGTGTTGTTCACCGTCTTGTAGATTTGTACGAGCAGGTGGAGCAAACCATGGGCTCCAAGTTTGTGGAGATGAACAACAGAATTGGAGACGGTACGTGCGTTCGGACTCGAGGGGCATGTCAGCGGGCTGACTCGCACGCTCTCGGCAGAAGTCGTTTCAGCAGCCTAGCTCAAGAGAACGCAAACAAACCGATACTTTGCTCCACAGTTTTCCAGGATTTTTGGAGAGAAAACAAATCCAACACCTGAATATGTTGTCTAACAAATGAGCAGCGTGATATGCCACGGTGTAATGGTTTGTACACTATATAACTTGCAATCTCTTGGTCTCCTGTTAACTCCCTCGTCTGGTATGAAGGAGGTTGTGGGTTCGATCCTGACCCTAACGACTGTATATAATGGTCGCGAAAGCCTACGTGTATATTTGGAGTTTGCATGTCTCTCTCTCTCTCCCCGTAGTCGCATGGATTTTTCTCCGGGTCCTCCGGTTTTTCCCTCCATATGTAGAAACATGTGTTGAGAGTATTTGGCTGCTATACATTTCCACTTGGTAAGCTGCTTCGTTGAGCTATCATTTGTGGCCAGGTCGCTTCTGAAAAATAGCTATTTAGCTCAGTGGGCCTTACCTGGTAAAAAAAATAGTAAAATAAAAAAATATCGTTCTCCATCATGGCAGTTGAAACATCCGTGCAAGTTTCTGAAATATATACCTTGCAATTTGCAATTTCATATTCATGAGCAACTAAATTCAACCAGGCTGTTGTTAGCCAAATGCAGCACTGCAAAAATCCATCGTTGTACTGATCTCCTATGCTCCAATGTCCAGCCCCCACCACTGACTCCAACCCACAACGACCAGCATGGTGAAATAACCGCCATGACGAGTATGGCATGGGGAAACCCTCACCCATCAGTGGATTGAGACAAAAAAGCGATCTACGTGTAGCAATGCAAGAGCATATGAAGACAGTGTACCGAACAAAGGGGTATAATGTGTGTGTGCTAGTGGATGTTTTGACCATTGCCACAGCAGGGAGTACAGCTGGTGCATCTACCAGTCGTCTCAGTCAGCCAGCCCATGGCACCTGGGTCTGTCCCGAGACCTCTTGTCGGTGAGGCTTCGACACGTCACGTGGCCTCAGTGCACCTGGCCTGGCACAGGCGCCGTGGTGACGTCACTTAGTGACGAATGGCGGGTGTTGCTATCGGTGTTGCCCATTGTGTGGGGAGCGGTAGCGTAGTGGATAGCGCACTGCGCTACGAACCCGGCGACCAGAGTTTGATTCTAGCTCACATCCAACACCAGTGGCGGTTATCTGAACTGGTCCTGGGTCTCCCCTAGGTCGACTCAGCCTCAGATGAGTCGACCTTGGGTGTGTAAACATCGCCACTGGGAAGACAAAGGTGGTCGGGCGTGGTGCTGGCGACACACCATTTGATGTGCCGTGCCGGCTTTCATAGGTGCTACTCGCTAACAGCGCTTGCCCGAACAGTCTGTTAAGGCTTTGCGGGGGATCTTTGTCTTTGTTGCCCATTGTCAGATTGATTTTAATATCCAAAAACGGCCCTAGCTATATTTTGAATGATCTTACTCTTTTTTTGACACTTTTAGTTGATAAATACGTAAGTGGAAATGAAATGTTTGCGTCAATTACGGGCCTGTAAAAGAAACCTGCATCGTGTGACGTCACTTTTGTAAGCACAAAGGTACTTCGTAATTACCTCAAATCAATGATCTGAAAGTTAAAAAAAGATCGTCAATTTGTTTTACAAATCCTAACATCGACAACGTTGAACTCTGAAATATACAGGCCTACTGTATTTGTGTGAGAGAACAGACGGTCAGCCTTGAGTGTTGCTACTCACGCTAAAGACTGATAATTGCACGTATATAGTGGGTGTTGTGACGGTTAACTTGAACGAAAAGTTGACTACATGAAAGTAATCAGGGCCTAGATTGCTACGAATTAAAACAGCATTCAAAGTAATGACGGCGAACATCGTGGATAGCAAATCGGTTGATTTAATACAAATACAGTAATGCCATTAATACATTTGAATACCTCCCCACCCTCCATGACAATGTGGAACGATTCAATGACACAATTGGTGGCGAGATGTTAACTACCTCGCCGGGTATACAGGAGGTCGAGGGTTCGATCCCGACCCTAATGCTTTTATATTTGGAGTTTGCATGTCTCTTCCTGCGGTCGTGCGGATTTTCCCCAGGTCCTCCAGTTTTCCCCTTCACATTTAGAATCAACATCACGCGTTTAGAGTATTCGGCTGCTATAAATGTCCACGTGATACGCCACTTCATTGGGCCATCACTTGTGGTCAGGTCGCTTCTGAAAAAGAGCGACATAGCTCGGTGGGCTTTAACTGGTGAAATAAAACATAGTTTTAGTAGTTTAGTTTAGCATTACAGCAAGACCTGAGTTTGATTCCCAACATGTGCACCTCTCTGCGTGCAGTTTGTTCTACGCCTGTTCTGCATGGGTTTCTGCCCAGGTCCCTAATGTCCTCCCATAGCAACAACAAAAAAACAATACAGTATTACTGGTATTGGCCAAACACCCGAATGCTGATCAATTATCTGCAAAATAAACAATTTGGATTTCTCAAAGCAAGATCACCCTCTTCCGTAAAAATATGGCATAACTCTCCGGAAAAGTCTTGACACTGTTGAGGGTTTCCTGGCCCAACAAGAATAATGATTATCAAATATTTATTTGATAATCGCAGTCATGTTCGTGGCAACTCGTGGTTTCAAGAGTCACGTGAACCCGTGACTCAATGTAAATCAAAAGGGATACACCATGGGCTCATACACGAGTGATTCGTTGCACGTATCGTGAGCTGAAGACTCAACGGTTAATCATTCCACCCCTGGTATCTAAACACGTGATGTCTGTTGGTCGCACCTTCAATGCTGTCTCGGTTTATTTATAATGTGCGCTTCGTACAACTCCGTATCAGCATAAACACAAACACTGTCGTGTTTTTTACGTGCTTGATCACGCCTGCCTTGTTAACTTTGTATTGGTTCTGTCATTCACAGTTTCCGGTCAGCTGAGTCAAAAACACTATGCCAGTAAGTGTGGGGAAAAACATTGAGCCTGACTGTGGTAAATTCAGTTTTGATTTGTTTTGAGAGATCCGACTGGTTGCTTTTTGCTATACTTGGGAATCTTTCATCTCTCAGTGCACCGTAGACTCTTGTAATATTTTCACAAAAAAAATATTCAAAAGATAACCCCCAAAAGAAAACTAACCACCCAGCTGTTATCAATACCAAAACCCATAATTAAATCATTCTGGAGCAAAACTGAAAAATAAATATATATTAAAGTTATTTTTACTTAATAAAGGTACAATATTTTGGGTAGACATTTAAATATGTCTACCCAAAATATTGTGTGTGCCTCAAAAAGCACAATAGTGGTATAATTGGTTATGAAATTCTCGTAATCCAAGAAATTAGCCTGCCGATGGTGGCCATACATTGCTGTATTCCAGCACTGTGGAGGCAGCGAGGGTTGGTGGACCGCACACAGATGTTACGGAACTCCCTGACTGTGGGCGTCGAGGTGCTGCTATACCCTGGCTTGCCAGGAGAAGGCGCGACAAGAAAAACATGGACTCCACCTTTTCCATCTGTACATTGCATGTGTTGTTAAGCCAACACCATCTGACACAGCCAATTAGTAAGGTTTGTCACGTAAACAAAACGTGCCAATTAGTTACTACTTCAGCACACCGGTGTGTTGGAGAGTAAAGGCACAACATTTACAATTTGAGTACGACATTTCGCTGGTAATTACAACCAGCTTAATCGGGCGATTAATATTTACGTGATTTAACCCCCCAAAAAAACACGTTTATTATTAATAATTTTCATTAATGCAGCAGGCTTTGTATGATGAGCCAAATATTGCTGGCAGATCTACAGGATGGCCCAATAGTTAATTTCCCGAAATATAAATACGGAATTAATTTCTCACTAAACTCATTTAGACCACCTTGTACAATAATGTTCATTATTTACCAAGAAATCCTGACTGAGTCTCAAAACTACTCTTCAGGAGGGTCCCGCTGCATGAGGATGTTTTGGCGATGTTAATTTTTTCACGAATGAGAGTTTGGGATTCATGTGAGAGGACATCAGGGAACTCTACAGGCTGTGATCAGGAGCCAGAAACACACACCTGCCTGGTTCGGAAGGTGTTCTGCAAAATGTTTTAAAGGGATGATTGAATGATATAACAAAATCAATGATTTACAGGGCCAGATTAAGGTTCTTGTAGGCCCTGGGCACTTCTGTTTCGTAGGCCTTCAGTGACAACTTTCTACAGTTGCTACTGCTGCTGCCCCATGTTACTGCTACCGCTGCTGTCACTCCGCTTGTTTCGCACGGTACTTTGTCCAGGTGCTGTACAGACGTCATTACTGATACACGTATTATTTAGGATGTGCCCTAAATTGATGGGAGCGTGCTACGCGTCACAGATAACATTGACGTGACGTTGCCTCTTTGTACACTGTGCCTATCCTTGCTATACAAATATATTTATTCAAGAAGATATCCTGGTTACATTTTATTTTTTATCATACATACAAACAAAAAACGTGGTAAAAATGTGTCTTCGTAAGCCCTTTAGTTTTTGTAGGCCCTTAAGTATTTGTAGGCACTGGGCACAGTGCCTACTATACCTACTGTGCCGATTAGATAATATGGCCCTGATGATTTATCGTCGAGACACGAATAAGCAAATTGAAACAGGTTGCATGTAACTATAAAGACATTGCTGGCATCCTTTTAATGGCTTGCAATATTTATGACGTTTTGGAAACTGTCGTGATGAATGCAAATGTGGGCCACCGTCACAGAAGTGTGACCAGTTCCTGGAGCTGAAAGCTGTCATCTGTAAAAAAAAAAAATAGCAGTACAATGGACAGACATGTACAGGGGCAATCATGAAGCAATATTTTAAAACTCTTTGCACTATACAGTAAAACCTTGGATTGCGAGCATAATTCGTTCCGGAAATGTGCTCGTAATCCATAGCACTCGTATATCAAAGCGAATTTCCCCATAAGAAATAATGGAAACTCAGATGATTCGTTCCACAACCCCAAAAATATTCGTGTAAAAATTATTAATGCAAAATACCTTTTTATATTTTTCTTATTAAAATTTAATATAAAGTAATCAAATTTATTAATTTAATCGTGGCTGGTGTGAGGGAGACGAGAGGAGGAGGGTTATTGTGTAGGACGACTTTCACTGTCACTAACGGAATCACTGGCATCTGTTGGCTCACTGGAATCTTTTTATTCTTGTGCGACTTTAACAAGGAACCTATCCAATGACACTTGCTTTTGCCTCCTTTTGAGGATTTCATGGGGGCCATTGTTGCAGTACAGTTACTAAAGAACAGTCACTACACTTGGACACAAAATAACAAAAATGCTTTATGCACACACATGTGGTCACAACACTATACTCTAGTAAACACTATAGTACTGTAATAAACAGTATACACGTGGTCACAACACTATAGTACTGTAGTAAACAGTATACACGTGGTCACAACACTATAGTACTGTAGTAAACAGTATACACGTGGTCACAACACTATAGTACTGTAGTAAACAGTATACACGTGGTCACAACACTATAGTACTGTAGTAAACAGTATGCACGTGGTCACAACACTATAGTACTGTAGTAAACAGTATACACGTGGTCACAACACTATAGTACTATAGTAAACAGTATACGATCCCACGGATGTTGACTATACGAGTGAGGCACGCCGACTGAGACCGAGCATGGGAGATGATTACCCACAATCCCGCAGCGAGAGAGAGAGAAGAACCATCGGCTCAGTTGTGATCACGTGACGCTCGGCAGTACAAAGCGTACACGTACACTACTCGTATTGCAAGACCTCGCTCGTTTATCAAATTAATATTTATTTAAAGTTTTTGCTCGTCTTGCAAAACACTCGCAGACCAAGTGACTCGCAATCCAAGGTTTTACTGTATTTACAAATTGTTCACTCGTTTTTTTTCTCTCTCTCTCACATGGCAGTCTACTGGAGAGAACTCGTCAAGTTATGGAAGGATTTTCAGGAAGCTTTGAAGAGTAAGTCCTGCCCATTGCACCCTCACACCCAGCGAGACGCAAACATCAATCGTTGTCTTCCTCCTCCTCCCTCCTGCTCACATGAGCAATGTTGAGAATACCGGTGTCTAACACGTTACCGTGGTGGGGACGAGACTAACCATAGTACGGCATTGTTGATGCTTCACAAACCTGCATCAAGCTAACACCTGTCCCCTCCCACTTGCTCTTGTGCGCGGTACAGATTTTGTAACTTTAACTCTTAATTTGTCCATCCATAAGAGGTTTTCGTTTGGTATAGGATCATTATTATTAATACAGCGGTATAATTAGCTGTCGCCTGATGAGGCTAGTTGTAATTACCGGCGAAACGTCGTACTCGAATTGTAGACGTTGTGGGTTGTTGTATATGAGCCTTTTCCAAAATTGATATTAACAATAATATTTGCCGTTATATATATCATATTTTTTTTAACAAACGAAAAAAATAATTAATAAAAACCGTAAGCCAGGCACACGAAAAACCAGGTGTCAGTCATAAACAGGCCATTAATAAATAAAGAAATTATAAAACTCTCGAGGCGAGGATGTTAGCAGCTATCTGCGAAGATCTCCAGATGAACAAGAGTTTGATGTGCCCTAAGGGAGGTCACGCAGAGGGAAGCCCTCCGCAAGCCAGAAATGAGGACGCCGACGGGTTAAACTATATATTTTTTTAAACAACGGTTCAAATTTAAAATGCAATAACAAGAATAAGCTAAAGTTAGCGGTCCTCGCGCTCACTCCAATCAAGACCAGGCCACCAGATACATCAGTGAATTATTATCCATAATTAATTCGCTATCAAATGATTTTCACCTTCAATACTTTTACTGTTAAAACAAAGCTTGGAGACAAAATACCGAGTCACATGAAAGGTTATCCAGAAGGAATGAGGCGAACGGGCAAACTTACGAAAGAGTTTAAACAATATCCCAAGCAACCCCGACCACCTTTGTCTCTCTCACAGCGCGGAGAAGCAGGAATTACACCTTATCACAAGGGGCCATCTGGAAAAGCCAGCCGGGTTTGATGAGGAGACACACCCCACCCCACACACGGCAACCAGACAAACAAGTTTTAAAGAAATTGCAAAATAACATTAATAACAACGTGTTAACCTTAAACGATATTCCATTATAGAACCTTACAGAACCAAGGGATATGGATTCCAACAATCTGGAAACGGACCTCTTAAACTCAGGATGAAAATTATTTTTCTTTTTAATAATTCCATCATAACAATTCGAACCTCGGTAAACCGAGAGGTGTCGGGAGGACGTAGTTACAAACACGAGCCGTGGCGAACATGGGACCAAATGGTATTTGAGAAATATAAGTCGAAAGTATAAAGAGATAGGTGCTCCCGACCACCTTTGTCTCTCCCGAAGAGCGCGAGAGAGGAATTTCACGCCAGGGCAAACAGATCGTTATCGCAGGAGCCATCTGTACACACACACACGAACTCACACACACAGCCCCCGCCCCCCCCCCTTTTTTCCACTGCGCAGAGAGAATTGTCTTTGAATATAACGGTCAGCCGCATTTTTCAAAAGTCAGTGAAGTTAAGTCAAGAGTCAAGACAGATCAGCGAGTCAAGACGTCCACAGGACGAGCAGTCGCATGGAGCGGCTGGCTCCGAGCCTCGCTGAGTAGCGAGGATCGCTGAGTCGCGATGTATCAACGAAAGTGAGTCATACAGCAGTGGAGAGAAACTGCTATCAGTGAATCAGCGCTGAGAGCGCTCGAGCATCTCCACAAAGAAAACACGTGCAACGTGGCTCAACCAGCAGCGGAAAAGCTTGGGCAGCCGCCAACAACTTCAGCAAACCAGTGGCCAAGCGCGTGCGACTTGAGTCATACAGCAGTGGAGGAAACCTGCTGTCAGAGAGCCGCCAACAACCTCAACAAAGAGAGCGCGTGCCACTCGGCTCACTCAGCAGAAGAAAAACTTGACCTGTCGCCGGCGAGCGCAGCGTCAGATACTACAGCAGCGGAAAGAGCGCGCGCCGGCGTAGCTCATCCAGCAGTGGAGGAAACTGCTGTCAGCGAATCAGCACGGGCGCGTTCGCGCATCTTCAAGGAGAAAGAGCGCGGCCAGCAACGCCAAGCAAGAGCGTGCAGCAGCTCAGCCAGCAGTGGAGAGAAACTGCTATCAGCGAATCAGCACGGGCGCGTTCGCGCATCTTCAAGGAGAGGGAGCGCGCGCCACCAGCGTGCCACCAGCATCAGCACCAGCGCGTGCCAACAGCGTGCCACCAGCGTGCTACAGTGCGCAACTTCGCGTCACCAGGGCTGAGAGGGCAGCGGTCCTGCACTCAACACCCATCGGCGCGACGACGGCGAGCGTCGTGCTGACTCATCCAGCCAGCGGTGGACAGAAACTGGCAGTCGTTCGTATGCCCCCCCACACTCTCCCCCCCTCCTCACTCCCCCACCGCTACACAACGAACAAACAATTTTTTTTTGACAAGGAAATCAACCTAGGCGTTTGCTCAACGCAAGAAATCAACAACCCTCCCATTAAACATACAAGATTCATGATAACTGCGTCAACTATTAGCTGATTACGAAAAACATCGCCACCCATTGAGTTACGTTGATGAGGCAATCAGAATTATTTCAGTCGAACGCTTTAATTGCATAATCGTTGATGAATCAATGAACGAACATCGCCGTGGTACTGTGCTGACGATTTCAAGCATAATAATTTCGCATGTCAGAATGTGTTAAGGATTGGATACGAATCAAAGACCGAGTGCCGTGTTGTGTGATCATTCAAGAATACGAGTTTGCATATTATAAGGTTAAGGTTTTGATAGAATAGTTCGCATGTTTTTAATCTCTCTCTCAACAACCGATCGATTGCGTTACGTGTCGGGAATTAACCACAGGTGCCGCTATCGACGTGAAACAACGTAATCGTGATGGTATCATGTTCACGCTGTGTTGAAATTACAAAATCCAGAGATTGAGTTTTCATATTATCCAAAAATTAAAGTTAGCTAGAAATAAAATTGATTAAAGCAGAAGGTTTGTGTGTGATTCTTCCTGAAATTCTGCATAATATTGTTCTGCGTATGAGATCTGAATCCTGGGGACCTATCATAAGCACACTATCACCACACATAATCCATAACACACATAATCCGTAATGTTCAATCAAGAGTAATCGTATTCTTATCGATAATACGGAATTAAAGAGCAGAGTCGAATCGACTCTCTCTCATTCACGCTCACAACGCCTGCGTCACTGCATACGATTAATTGCGTTATTCCAATTCATAACACAATCCTCGTCACCGAGGCTCGACCTGATAATCCATAACGACCTGCATTATCATAACCACGCCCACTCGCATAAATTAATACAATTATCTCTCGAATCAGCATAATTTATGTGCATAATTACACTGATTAACATAATTTTGGATAAATTATGCAAATCTCAAATTTCATTTAATTTTCATTATTTTCATCAATTTTCATAACACCTATATATACAACAGGGTTTACTCTTCAACACACCGGTTATTGCTGAACTAGTAACTGACACGTTTGTTTACATGGCAAACCTTACTAAATAGCTGTGTTGGGTGGTGCTGGTGGTGGGAGTAACGACACATTTATATTCACACGATCTAACCCAGAAAACCTCTTATGTATATTGGTCGCGAAAGCCCACGTAATAAACTTAATGTATCCATGTTCGATTCCTTGTGACCCTAATTCAAGTTTGTCAAATCTTTCTTCCTCTGTCCACCGAGCGGTAGGCATGGGGACACACCATAATCAGTCGATCAGCACGTCCAATACGGTGTGGCAAAGTGTGGATATTCCTGTCTCTGGCCACCTTGGAAGAGTAGGCCAAATACTCTGTAGATGGGATCTCTGTACCTCGAGTGGAGGCCCTTTAGCCAGCAGTGGCATGAGCAGGACACTTTCACCCTTACCTGTTACACTCCCTGCTGTGTGTGGTGGTGATGTATGGGATTTGTGACTGTGTTGTTAAGCAACTAATGCGAAAATAATTTAACTAACCGTTACGTTTTGTCCTTTCCTTTTTGTTTTTCAGCTTCGAAGGAACCGTCATGCCCTGTCTGTGGTAAGATTGTGTACACCTGTATATATCTTGGCGATTCTGTAAGACGGTATGGGTGCCGTGACTGCGTCTTCATAAGCTTATCACATGAGACAGTATGCATACGTGTGTGCGCATGTGTGCGTGTGTGTCAGGGGAGCGGTAGCTTAGCGGTTAGCGCACTACGCTGCGAACCTGGCGACCCGAGTTCGATTCTCACTCACGGCCAACACCAGTGATGATGATCTGAACCAGTCCTGGGCTTCCTCTAGGTCGACTCCCCCTTGTGTGCCGTGCCGGCCTTCATAGGTGCTCGAACTTTGTATTTGTGTATGTGCGTGCGCGCATGTGTGCATGTGCCCGTGTGCGTGGAAAATTTATGAGGCCAAAAAGTTCCGAGCGTTATTCCGGAAATGGGAGCGAGCGCTACCGACTGTCGGCTTCAGCATCACGCTCGTTCAAGCACGTCAACGACGACGTCACCATGCGCTTGATAATGGCGCTTGCCCAACATTCTAACATTGTCATGACAAATGTTTGCCTTTGAATGCAACACTTTCCCACCGGCTTTTATCCGGAAAACCTGCACCAACTTCACATGTACAGGCTAAACCTGCTGACAATTGACCAAATACAGTTGATCCTCGATTATCCGGCAGCTTCCCACATTATCCGGCAGTCCCGGGCCGATTTGGCAAAACCCCTCCAGAGGCACCGTTTGGCGTGACAAAAAAGGTAGCTATGCTTGATTTCATTGTGAAATATCATATACGGTACATTATACACTACATACATACAACTTAAGCAATGAAAATGCTTCATGTGTATACTCCAGTCTTCGAGATTAGAGTGGTAAGTACGGTACAGTAAATAGTCACTTTTTTAATAGGATTTTTATTTTAGAGTAGGATATTTATGCAAATGTTATGTAGTAAACAAATTAAAAACGCAAAAGCACATGCACAACACCGAAAAACACAGCAGGCAAAAATAAGCAATTTTAAATAGTGATTTGACTATCCGGCGTTTTTGAAAACCCGTCGCCCCCTGCCCCCCGAAGCCACCGGATAATCGATGATCTACTGTAATATTCTAACTGAATAATATAATGAAGGATTACCTGAAAGTAAAGCCCAATTTTAACGAAGTCGTGGCGTGACGGCAGCACAGCAACGTATCGAGGAGTCAACTCGTGTTGAGCTCTTGAATGTTCTCAACTCACGTGGAGGCACAGTCTCCAAGTGCGCTTGTTTCCTGCCAAACGGTCTTGCATGGAATTGGCCAAACATCTCAATGTAGGGCCCTGCTCAACAACAGTTTTGTTTTTAGTCTTATCCTGAACGTAACAGACTGCTTGGAGTCATCACATTTCGCTTATTTCGACCTTAAACTCGCTCACCATGTTCTAAATGCAATTGCTTGACACACTCGACTGGGCAAGTAAACTTTATCATTCTTATCGTGTGGGTGTCGCGGCGGTTCGGGCAGTGCCACGAACCCCACTGCCTGAGTTTGATCGCTGGTCATGCGTAACGTCACCGGTGGGTGACATCCAAACCGATCCTGATGCCACGACCGAAACCTAATCCCCCCCACGGTCACCAACTCGCATTGAACGGTGTGACGAGTAAATGGTCAAACCACGTGACCGACATTCCTGCAGGAAATGTACGTGTCTAGTTCGTTGTCCTTCCTGCACCTCCCGATTAGCACGGTTGGCTATGTACGGTGCGAAAGCAGTTCAACATGCGTACAAATTGGTTTCATATTTTTATCTCTATTTGAGAAAAAAAGCGAATAAAGTCAATCAAAAAGGTGATAAATGGAACTTCGTAGCGTTTACATTTGCCGCTACTGAAAATGCACGTGACATCTGGTTCCATCACGTGAACTTTCGTGACCCCAATCTTCCCTGCAATCTGCAGACATCAACAGCCTTTTAACTCCGTCCATGTGTTTTTTTTGTTCGCAGAACCCACGTATATATCTGCCCTGCGCTGCGAATCCTGCCAGAAAGAGAATAAGGAAGTCTGCCTGTCTTATTGCGAACGTACGTCATCCTGGAGTTATAACGTCAGGAATGCCTCACTGCGTGCAATTTATATCACTCCTAAAATATGACTCTCGTAAAATCTGTCGCGTTGTCCTTGCATTCCAAGTACGATGAATCGAAGTATTAATTTTACTCATTAAAATCGATGCATCGTTCCATGCATGTGCAATGCCTTGAGATGCTCAATTTGCATAACTAGGCAGGGGTAGAGCAACAAGCAGAAACATTGTAGGAACATATTCTTGGTTCATATTCTTGGTTCTTTCGGTAAAGTCACGTTGAAGGGTATCAATAAAATAAAAAATATATATATAAATCAAAAGTATTCTTGGTTCTTTCGGTAAAGTCACGTAGAAGGGAAAAAGAAAATAATAAAAATATATATTATATCTTTATCATATTGTTTCCCTTCTATGTGACTTTACCGAAAGAACCAAGAATATGAATCCCTGCAGTCACGAAAGCTTTGAATCAAAATTGTAGGAACAATGAATTTCGCTCGCACTGTGGTGACGTCAGTGCAGTAACATTTAAAAAAAAAGTGTCACCATGTCATTACTAAGTCTCCATATCAAGCCGAGTAAAAAAGACAATACACTTAACAGGCACTTCGTTGTCTTCTGAATTGTTTTCCTGGTGCACTCTGGGCATTATAGTCAGGAGGCAAAGAAAACCCTTCAAAAATGTCACAGCAGAGCAACCTCACGAGTGTGAGAATGGCCAAAAAAGATTTGCTCACAACTTCTGCATGGAGCCCTTCAAGCAGCGCTGTCCAGAGTGCTGCTGCCGGCTCGTATCACCCGACGCTTCTGCCTTCTTAAACATTGCTGATGTTTGTGTTTAGTTTGTTGTCCTTCCCCCCCCCCGCCCGCCGCACCTCCGATTAGCACGGTAGCTACGTTACGGTGTGAAAGAAGATCAACGGAGATACAGCCATTGCACATTGCTGCCAGGGATACGTCTAAATTCACTCTGCTAGGTTTTTACAAAAAGCAATGATGTAAAAATGTTCGCGTTTTTTTAAGTCTCTAAACGTCACTAACTCACCTGCGCGTGTATGCATGTATGTGTTACAGGAAGTGGGGAGCGGTAGTGTAGCGGTTAGCGCGCTGCGCTATGAATCCGGCGACCCGAGTTCGATTCCCGCTCACGGCCAAAACCTGTGACGATTATCTGAACCGGTCCCGGGCCTCCTCTAGATCGACTCAGCCTCAAATGAGTACCTGGTGCGGTGTATAAACATTGCCACTATGGAGACGAAGGCGGTCGGGCATGGTGCTGGCCACCCACCCCCTCGTGTACCGTTACCGGCCTTCATAGGTGCTCGCTAACAGCACTTGCCCCGACAGTCTGTTTAGGCTACATGGGGGACCTTTATCTTCGTCTTTGTGTTACAGGAAATATTTTGGAAAAGCAACGGCGAGCACCTTTGGAGGTTCTGGACGACGTCGATCCCGACGTCATTCCAGAGCCAGACTACGACCCTGAGTTTGAGCCCACGAAGACCAGCGTGATTGCACTGATCGTGATCGTGCCAGCCATGCTATGCTTAATCGTCTTCTGCATCGGTGAGCCTTTAGCTTGTTCCTCCAGATAGCAGAGCCGTTTTTAACAAGTAGAGTCCTCTGCAGATCATCGTGGGAGATGCGTGTATGTTGAATTTCTTTCACACATTTCCGTAGCTAACAGTGCTAATCGGAGCGGCGGGGTTAAGGACAGCAAACTAAACACAACAACGAGCAGTTTCTTGAAGAAATTAGTTTTCAATCTCTTAAGATCTAGAGAGACACAGAGACACGTTTACAAACACTTTGAGAGACACGAAGGATACAGACAGCTATAGACACGGACAGTGTCAGACACGTACAAAGATACACGTGGAAAGATGCAGGCAGAGATTGACCCGGAGAAAAACCCACACATGCACAAATAGATAACTACAGATACTTACATGCATGTGCATTTAGTGGCTCACACTAACCCGTTTACTCCCTTGTCCCCTTTTATGTTCAGTAATGTGCTTCACGCGAAATAAAAAATCAACGTCTGCCCCCGACATGGAAAAGGGATTGGACGCTGCGGAAGAGCAGAACCGACAGGACCCCGATGTGAGGATGCCTGGGCATCCAACGAAGCCTGCCCGGGAAAATCAAACCAAAAAAGCCGGCGCGCACAAAGCATCCCGCAATGGACCAAAGAAAGAAAGGCCACGCAAATGAAAGTGCGGGCAGTCCCCCGACTTACGAACGGGTTCCTTATTCCTGAGGCCTGTTAAAAAGTCAAACTGTTCGGGTTCACAAGAAAGACAGATACACACATGCGCGCACACTCACTTTTACACACACACACACATATGCTGGAGTTTGCAGGGTTTGTGTGGTGCCACGGCCTCGAAACCACTCTGCAAACTCCGCGACCACACACTGAATACACACACACACACAGCGCACACACGTAGTGTCCTGGCGTGGGATTGCTTGGCACAAAGGGTTTTAATCCGAAGGGTTCCTATGAGGAAAGTCCCACGGTTTCCCGGTGCCAGGGGATTGGCCGACCCTCGCAGGACAAGTCACATCGCGGTGCCCCTGAGTTGGCTTAATAATGTATGGGCGCAAAAAGATTACCGGGCCAGCCGCGATGAGTCATTCACGACATGTGGGAAGCCGGGGTGGAAAAAGCGAGAAAGGCAGTGTGTATTTGCCACTCATTCGCCACTACGAGGCCGTGTTAGGCAAGGCTTTCTCGTCCTCTTCCCTCCGCCTCTCACAGCGTCCGTGTGACGCCGCGAGTACGGCTACGAGGTACATGGTAGGACGCTTGGGTGAGCAGGAGCGCAGACGGCAGTAGGCCTAGGCTTTTCTCGCAAGATACTCCCCCCGGTAGTGCCGACTGGGCAGCTTTAAGGGATTGTGGTTTGCGCCGAGAATAAAAGTTAGCACAGACCGTCGATGGTGTGGTGTCTGCAATTTCTGTGTGGAGCGACTGCGTGTGCAAGCCGAGTCCTCGGTGGCGGTGGGGGAACATGCGGCGAGAGTGAACGCGGGGTGGTGACCGCGGGATAGTCACCATGTCTTGCGCGAGTGAGGTAATCGCTCAGGTGTGAGCGCGCTCGCAGGTAATAACGCGCTCCGCGGCCCCTCTAATAGTGGCAGCTGTGGTGTGCACGGGCGTGTATTTTAGCCCCGTGTGGCTCCGAGGCCAGCAGCGCGAGCATCGGGGGCCCCCGTCACTCGCTCAGCGGGTGCCTGGCGGGAGTTGACCGACACGGTGGAGGAAGGAGCGCAACGGGTGGACGTCGTGCCCCACCTGCCCAGTGAGGGTGGCAGGGTGGACGTCAGGGTGGACGTCGCGCCCCACCTGCCCAGCGAGGGTGGCAGGGTGGACGTCAGGGTGGACGTCAGCGCAGTAACATTTAAAAAAAAGTGTCACCATGTCATTACTAAGTCTCCATATCAAGCCGAGTAAAAAGACAATACACTTAACAGGCACTTCGTTGTCTTCTGAATTGTTTTCCTGGTGCACTCTGGGCATTATAGTCAGGAGGCAAGAGAAACCCTTCAAAAATGTCACAGCAGAGCAACCTCACGAGTGTGAGAATGGCCAAAAAAGATTTGCTCACAACTTCTGCATGGAGCCCTTCAAGCAGCGCTGTCCAGAGTGCTGCTGCCGGCTCGTATCACCCGACGCTTCTGCCTTCTTAAACATTGCTGATGTTTGTGTTTAGTTTGTTGTCCTTCCCCCCCCCCCGCCCGCCGCACCTCCAGATTAGCACGGTAGCTACGTTACGGTGTGAAAGAAGATCAACGGAGATACAGCCATTGCACATTGCTGCCAGGGATACGTCTAAATTCACTCTGCTAGGTTTTTACAAAAAGCAATGATGTAAAAATGTTCGCGTTTTTTTTTAAGTCTCTAAACGTCACTAACTCACCTGCGCGTGTATGCATGTATGTGTTACAGGAAGTGGGGAGCGGTAGTGTAGCGGTTAGCGCGCTGCGCTATGAATCCGGCGACCCGAGTTCGATTCCCGCTCACGGCCAAAACCTGTGACGATTATCTGAATCGGTCCCGGGCCTCCTCTAGATCGACTCAGCCTCAAATGAGTACCTGGTGCGGTGTATAAACATTGCCACTATGGAGACGAAGGCGGTCGGGCATGGTGCTGGCCACCCACCCCCTCGTGTACCGTTACCGGCCTTCATAGGTGCTCGCTAACAGCACTTGCCCCGACAGTCTGTTTAGGCTACACGGGGGGACCTTTATCTTTGTCTTTGTGTTACAGGAAATATTTTGGAAAAGCAACGGCGAGCACCTTTGGAGGTTCTGGACGACGTCGATCCCGACGTCATTCCAGAGCCAGACTACGACCCTGAGTTTGAGCCCACGAAGACCAGCGTGATTGCACTGATCGTGATCGTGCCAGCCATGCTATGCTTAATCGTCTTCTGCATCGGTGAGCCTTTAGCTTGTTCCTCCAGATAGCAGAGCCGTTTTTAACAAAAGTAGAGTCCTCTGCAGATCATCGTGGGAGATGTGTGTATGTTGAATTTCTTTCACACATTTCCAGTAGACTAACAGTGCTCATCGGAGGGGCGGGGTTAAGGACAGCAAACTAAACACAACAACGAGCAGTTTCTTGAAGAAATTAGTTTTCAATCTCTTAAGATCTAGAGAGACACAGAGACACGTTTACAAACACTTTGAGAGACACGAAGGATACGGACAGCTATAGACACGGACAGTGTCAGACACGTACAAAGATACACGCGGAAAGATGCAGGCAGAGATTGACCCGGAGAAAAACCCACACATGCACAAATAGATAACTACAGATACTTACATGCATGTGCATTTAGTGGCTCACACTAACCCGTTTACTCCCTTGTCCCCTTTTATGTTCAGTAATGTGCTTCACGCGAAATAAAAAATCAAAATCTGCCCCCGACATGGAAAAGGGATTGGACGCTGCGGAAGAGCAGAACCGACAGGACCCCGATGTGAGGATGCCTGGGCATCCAACGAAGCCTGCCCGGGAAAATCAAACCAAAAAAGCCGGCGCGCACAAAGCATCCCGCAATGGACCAAAGAAAGAAAGGCCACGCAAATGAAAGTGCGGGCAGTCCCCCGACTTACGAACGGGTTCCTTATTCCTGAGGCCTGTTCAAAAGTCAAACTGTTCGGGTTCACAAGAAAGACAGATACACACATGCGCGCACACTCACTTTACACACACACACACATATGCTGGAGTTTGCAGGGTTGTGTGGTGCCACGGCCTCGAAACCACTCTGCAAACTCCGCGACCACACACTGAATACACACACACACACAGCGCACACACGTAGTGTCCTGGCGTGGGATTGCTTGGCACAACGGGTTTTAATCCGAAGGGTTCCTATGAGGAAAGTCCCACGGTTTCCCGGTGCCAGGGGATTGGCCGACCCTCGCAGGACAAGTCACATCGCGGTGCCCCTGAGTTGGCTTAATAATGTATGGGCGCAAAAAGATTACCGGGCCAGCCGCGATGAGTCATTCACGACATCTGGGAAGCCGGGGTGGAAAAAGCGAGAAAGGCAGTGTGTATTTGCCACTCATTCGCCACTACGAGGCCGTGTTAGGCAAGGCTTTCTCGTCCTCTTCCCTCCGCCTCTCACAGCGTCCGTGTGACGCCGCGAGTACGGCTACGAGGTACATGGTAGGACGCTTGGGTGAGCAGGAGCGCAGACGGCAGTAGGCCTAGGCTTTTCTCGCAAGATACTCCCCCCGGTAGTGCCGACTGGGCAGCTTTAAGGGATTGTGGTTTGCGCCGAGAATAAAAGTTAGCACAGACCGTCGATGGTGTGGTGTCTGCAATTTCTGTGTGGAGCGACTGCGTGTGCAAGCCGAGTCCTCGGTGGCGGTGGGGGAACATGCGGCGAGAGTGAACGCGGGGTGGTGACCGCGGGATAGTCACCATGTCTTGCGCGAGTGAGGTAATCGCTCAGGTGTGAGCGCGCTCGCAGGTAATAACGCTCTC